ATTTTAAATAAAATGTAAATATTATTATATCAATATATATTAAATTAAATAAATATAATATATTTTTTGAAGTATGATATTATCGAACAAAGATTTTTAGATATAAAATTATTTAAGACATAATAAAAACATTAGACAATTATAGAAAAAGGAAATTTAATATAATATATAAATGTTTTAAACATAAGACAATTTATCTTTCTTTTATCTTCTAATAGAATATATTATTGATCAACAAAACCTAATGAATAATTGCTAATTTGATATAGGACGCTGTGATAAATGAATTAAAAAATAAAACAAGACTGGTTCAAGAGAAGAAATTGCTGCAACAGGATGAAGTTTATAATGGTGCTCTAGAAGATATTCTTCTTGGGCTTAGATCGGAACCATACCGACGAGCAGATGCTGTTAGACGCAGCCAACGCAGACGTATTGATAATCATAGACTCTCTCGCACTGCCGAAGAACTAGAACTCTAAATTATGTTTCTCAGTGTTTTTTATTTTAAAAGGAAAGCAGTTTTGTTTATTTATTTTTTTTTTTTTTGAAGGAATAAATTTTACTGCATTTTTTGCGTTAACGTACGCAATATTCTCACTTAAAACTCTTTCAGAAAGAAACATTTTTTGTTTATTTTAATTCAATATTTATAACTTTATACACTAAAGTTAAAACACAATGTGATTTGAACGTCGAAAAACGTTCATGTTCATCACAATGTTTAAAAAATTATTTAAGATAATTCATATTCAAAAATTGAAATTTCATGTGATGATAAATTATTGTAAATTATTAAAAATGAAAGAGTCGTGTATTGAGCCAAATTTATAAATAATAGATACACAATAATATCCTGTTAATATTGAAAAAAAAAATTACAAAAAAATCTTTTACTGATTTTTTATTGAAATGATGATTTATTACCTGTTCATTTTAAGTAACGATATCTTTGTTTCCCTTAAATATGTATTTATAAAATTTTCTTGGATTTCTGGAAACAATTAGAAGACATTATAGCAAATTGATATTAACAGGACATTACTGTAGCATGATAGAAATATAGATATGATAATTTAAAACAAATATTGAATTGGATTAAATTTTTATATATAAGTCATTTATACGGTGCTATAAATTCAAGATATAATATCAAGATCCAAACCAAAATTAAATTTAAAATATCAATTGTTTTCACACTATTAACAAACAGTAGTAATGCATTAATATTCTTCTGTTTGTTGAATATGTATTCTTTGTATTGTACAAATTTAGTAAACGTAACTATACGTTTATTAAAAAATATTAGAGTAAATTAAGAAATGCGTTTGTGTGCACAAATTGTATGATTATTTTTTTCATTGTTTTTTTTATAAATACTATTTCTAACTAATTAAAAAGAAAAATTGTTTCCATTTAATTAATTATTGTTGATTGTTATATGCATTTGAAATATTTATAATTCCAATTTAATTCGTATATGTTAGCTGTTTATTTGAAAGAGTTTTTAAGAAAATAAAAAGATAAAAAATGATATAGATTCAATGATAGTAATAATGTCAATATAAATTCATATAAAAAATTTAAGTATACTTTTGTATATTTTTTAAGATTTTTGGCAAGGTATAGTTTCCAATTAAACTATAACATTCCATGGATGTAAAGATCCAAAAAATTTTAATTAAGTTTTCAAGAATAACAACTATTTTGAGATAATTATGAAAATAATACATTTTTTAAATTCCAAAATATAAATATTGCAATATATTTTTCTTAAAGTCTGAAGGTCAATTCTTTGATCATTAAAAACATAAGTAGCAAGTGCGCACAATAATATCTCAGAATATGTGTATATATATATATATA